GGCCCCGCCCCCCCCCCCCCCCCCCCCCGCCTGCCCGCAGCCTTCCGCGGGATGGTGGAGGAGACGGCCAGGCACAGCACCCGGCAGGGCAGCGGCGGCCTGGCGCCCACCCACTCTGCACAGGCGCTGGCAGAGGCGGTCAAGGGGCGCCTGCCGCCGCCGCGCCCCGAGGGCAAGACGGACTAGAAGCGAGGGACCTCTGTGCTCTCTTCTCCTCTGCGAATTCATTTGTACCCAATGCCCGTGATTTCATTCCAGCCTGGCATCCATTCATTTCTCGTCTGCGCTCGTTGACCTGCAACTGCATCGTCCTGCGTGCGTTACAGCGTGTAACTCAGTTTCTGCAGGATGGCAGATCACAGCAAGCGTATGGCTGCAGGGAGGGGTGTGTGCCACCAGCCCGGCAGCGCCTCAGAACAGCCTGGGCGCCTGCTCGGTCTGCGCGAAGCGGCAGAAGGCCTCGCCGCTCAGCGGGATGTCGGCCAGCTGGGCCGGCTGCAGCGGGATGGTCGGTGCGATGCCAATCTGCAGGAGGCAGGTGGAGAGAGAGGAATCGGCGTGCTAGGGAGGTGGCTGTGGAGCGTGGATGAGCACAGCGGTGCGGCGCACCCCCCAGGAGCGTCCCGCCGCTGCTCCAAGCATCCGTTCCCCGCACAGCCCACACATGCACCCAGTGCCGCAAGCTTGTTGTTGCTGAAACCAGACTGGAAGCCCACACATGCATGGAGCGCCGGCAGCAGGCGCAATTGCAGGGCAGGGCGTGCCTGTGTTGTGTTTACAAGCACCCCGCGTTTGATAGGCGTGCACCTTGTTGATGTCGATGCCCGCAGGCGTTTGGTACATGGCCACAGTCACCGCCACAGCAGACCCGTCGGACAGCTCCACCAGGGTCTGCAGAGGGTGGGCAGGAGGCACCCGCACGTCGGGGTGGGGCAGGAGGCACCAGCTGCAGCGCGTCGAGCAGATGCAGGTCCCGGACGGGTGGGGCAGCAGGCGCGGGCTCTAGAACCCTTGGGGTGGGGCTAACGCAGGGGAGCCCTGGTGCGCTGTGCATGCAGATCCCCATCTACCGCTTCCATTGCCACCACATAGTCAACCCCGCCCCTGCCCGCCCTTCCTGCACCACTCACCTGGATTAGCCCCTTGCCAAAGGTGCTCTCCCCGGCCACCTCGGCCCGCCCGTTGTCCTTGAGAGCCCCCGCCAGCACCTCGCTGGCTGAGGCGGTGCCGCGGTTGGCCAGCACGACCAGGGGGGTGGAGGGGTCTATGGCGGAGCCCTGGGCGGAGTAGATGTCGCGAACGCCGTCGCTGCGGCGGCGGGAGGCACGGGAGCAGGCACGTGAAAGCAGCAACGGGAGGCACGGGAGCAGGCATGTGAGCAGGCATGTGAGCAGGCGGCGGGCAGGTGGCGGGGGGTGGGCACCCCCGGCACGCGCGTGCCGCGTCCCTGGCCTGATGCGTGGCGATGGTGGCAGCCAGGTGGTGGGCAGCATGCCTGTGGTGGCGCCCATTGAGCAGCCAGGCGCCTCCTCCACCCAATACAGTGACCTCCCCCTCCCCTCCCCCAACACACACACACACACACACCACCGTGCACCACACCGAAAAAAAACACCCAGCCCACCTGTCTGCGATCAGCACTATGTCGCCGCTGTTGAGCAGCATGCGCCCCACCTCCACCCCCGAAGGAAACAGCCCGCCGCCGTTGTTGCGCACATCCAGCACAAGCCGCTGCGCGCCCTGCGGCGGGCGGCAGGGGGGCAAGCGGGCGGCGAGCTGGGCGAAAGGGGCGAGCAACGCTGCAGGGGGCGCCAAGGGCGGGCAGCTGCAGCGGAGCGGGCAGAGGTTGGCGGCAGGCCGGCACGCCGACACCTGTTTTACGTATGAGGTATAACAGGCACGCGGGCCAGCTGCAGCTGCTGCCGATGTGTGCCTCAGTGCCTCGGCCCAGCCACGCCGCCGCCCGCCGCACCTGCTCCCGCAGCGTCAGCAGCGCCGCCCGCACTTTCTCGCTGGTCTGCTTGCTGAAGGTGGCCACACGGATGTATCCCAGCCGGCCCTCGCTGGACCCGGGCGCCAGCTGGCCTGTAGCCAGGGAGGCAGGCGGCGGCACGGTGGCAGGAGGGGGTGGTGGTGGCGCCGTGCCAGGGGGCAAGGCGCAAGCGTGGCGCCGTAGGGCAGGCAGCGCGAGGACGGCGGGAGGCTGCCTCGACAAGCAGGCTGGGGGCTCTGCAAGCAGGCGGGTGGTTCCGGCCGCTGCCGCGGGCAGCTGCAGCGGGCTGGGGCCCTCTCACCGCTAGTGCTGCAGAGCGCGGAGTCGACAGGGTTGAACTGGATAGGCTGCCGGGTGAGGCTCAGGTCCCTAGGAGCCCCGCCACCGCTGGGCCGCACCCGCAGCACCACCTCGCTGCCCTCCGGCCCCTGCAGCAGGTTGCCTGCAGTGGGCGGGCGGGGGCGGGGCGACCGGCGCGGGCGTCAGCAGGGTGCCGCGGGCTGCCGGAGGCCGCTGCGCGCCGCTGGCGCCTCGGGCAAGCGGCTGCTGACAGCTGCTCTCCTGCGTGCCACACAGACACACACAGACGCACACACACACACACACACACACACAAACACACCACACATAGACACACTACACACTACGCACACACCGACACGTGCCAACGCAGGCCTGCGCTGCTCCTCACCCACCCACCCGCAGCATACAGCGACAGCGTGGAGGTGTCCTGGCCGTCGATGGACAGAATCTGGTCCCCCGGACGGATGCCGGCACGCTCGGCGGGGCCGCCTGGCGCGGGCGAGATGACGACCAGCGAGCTGCTGCCGCCCTGCTGGGAGGAGAAGGAAACTTCCACCCCCACGCCAGTCACTGACCCGGCCGTGCTGCGCCTGCAGGGGGTGTGGGGGGGAGCCGGGGGTGGGTGGGTGTGCGGGGTGGTGCAAGGTGTGGGGTTGGTGCTGTTTTGGGTGGTTGGAGGGTGGGACGCAGCGTGCCAGCTGCGCATGGCATGCCGTGCCCTACAGGGCCGCCAGAAAGCGGGGGAGCGGTGCGCCGCAGCCGCCCATGCAGGCCGGCCGCCGCGCCGCCCGTCCCAGCGCGCCCACCGTAGTGCCGTGTACTGCTCTGGGGCCAGGAAGCGTGTGAACGGGTCGCCCAGGGAGGCCAGCAGGACGCGGATGGCCTCGTGCGTCTCCGCGCGGCTGCCCATCGGCACTTTCTTCAGAGAATCCTCCCGCACCTGCTGGGGATGCGGGGCCAGGCAGGCAGGCAGGTAGGCAGGCAGGCAGTCGTGAGTGCGTGCGGGCATGGCGCTGTGCAGCGCTGCAGACACGGTGGCAGGCCTTTCTGCGGCGCAACCAGGCAGGCAGGCAAGGCATGGTGGGGAGCAGCCAGCGGCGGGGCCTGCCTTGAACCAGTTCTGCCCGTTGAACTTCTTGTCCACATACGCTCGGTCCACCGCCCGCCAAGCCTCCAGAAACAGCAGCTGCTCCTGCGTCACCGCCCCCGCCGGCGGCGCCAGCAGCGCCGCGCCGGACACCGCCGCCGCCAGCAGGGCGGCCGCGGCGCGGCGCGACACCGCCTCCACCGCCTGCTGCACGGCGCCGGGCGTGCTAGCAAGGGGAACGCTGCTGCTGCGGCTGCTGCTGGCGTTGTCTGCTGCGGTGGGGTCGCCGCCGCCACCCGGCCTGGCGGCAGCGGCAGCGACAAGCTTGCGGCAGGTTGCCGCCGTGGTGCAGCGTCTCGGGCGCTGCGAGGGTGTCCATCTGGTCCCGCAAGCCGCGTCTGTGATGGCTTTGCCGTTCATCGCTGGCACATGCGTGAGGTGAAGTCGCAGGCACCAGCCAGTCAGTTGGCGCGATCGTCGTGAATGCAATTGGGCTGAGCTTGTGCGATCATTGGCAGTGGAAGCAGGCGATGGACATCCTTCCCTGCTGCGAGCGTGCTGCCGAGTCGGCCGATGGCGCGCGGATGATCCGGATGGCGTGCAGCCCAGAAGCTCTGATGCGCTATTGGCTGCTTGGAAACGCATCTGTGTTGTCGCTCAGGGCACCTGCACTCGCTGCAAGGCCCCACCTCGCTCGCACCGTCCCCCTCCCCCGATCATCGCACAGCAGCATGTCTGCGGCCCTGGTACAGCGTGTGGCGGCCGCCACGCCACAGTCCTCCTCGGGTGCGCCGCCGCCCTGCAGCAGGCCTTGTCAGCGGCGGCGGTGCCGCCGCCTGCCGCGCTTTGCCGGCGCGAGCTTCCGCTGCACACACGCCGCGCTCTGCTGCTGCTCCCCTGCAGGCGCCCGCGCCCCGGCGCCGCAGCGGGCGGCGGTGCAGACAGCGGCGCGGCGGCCGGTGCGCTGCGCCCGCAGCCCGCGCACGCTCGCAGTGGCGAATGCCGCCGCTCAGAGCGAGGCGCAAAAGCGTTGGGAGAGCCAGGTGGGCGGCGGCCTGCAGCCCTGCACCCGCGCGGCGCTCCTCTCAGGCTGCAGGCCAACCCATCCCTGCATTGCAACGACTGGGAACACATCAAGTGAACATCCAGTGAAAACGGGTGCGTTATGTACAAGGTAGGAGCTTTCAGCCTTTTCTTCCCGCGGCGCCACGCCCCCGCAGATCCGCGACGGCAAGGTGCAGAACGTGAGCGCCAAGGAGGCGGGCGGCCTGCTGAAGGAGGGGTGGGTGCTGTTGGATGTGCGCCCGCCTACCGAGATCGCCAAGGTGGGCCCTGCAGGCCGCCGCCGCCTGGCGGCCAGGCGGCGAGGGAGGCTGGCGCTGAGCAAGGGCTGCGGGCTGCCCCTTTCTTGGCGCAGCTGGCCGGCACAGCTGCGTGAGCAGCCAGGGCAGCACAGGCGGAAACAGTTGCGGCAGGGTGGCAGCGCAGGCATCGCAGGGCTGGCAGCTCCCAGAGGGACGGCGCGGCCCCGCTTGGGGGGGGTGCCGCTGCCGCCCGGCGCTCCCCTCCACGCCTCCCGAGGCCCCTCACACGCCTGCTGTCTCACACACCTGCTGCCCACTCCACGTGTGCAGGCAAAGGTGGTAGGCGCTGTGGAGGTGCCGCTGTTTGTGGTGGATGACGACATGTCGCCCGCAGGCTTCCTGAAGCAGGTGCGCTGGCAGCTGCCCTGCAGCTGGTACGGCCCCCGCCCCCGCACCAGCTGGTCGGCTTGTGCCTGCAGCACGGCTGCTGCGAGTGTTCTGTCGAGCACCCCACCCGCCCAACTGTGGCACATGAGCATGCTCCCACGCGCCGCACATGCCAGCTCATGCCGCGCATGGGCCGCGCCCCCGGCCCCCCCTCCCCCGCTGCAGGCCTCCAACTTTGGCATGGGCGGCTGGTGGCTGGGCGGCGCCCACATGAAGCCCAACCCCCAGTTCCTGGCTGAGGTACAGGCCTCGGTGCCGAACGACGCGCAGGTGGTGGTGGCCTGCCAGAAGGGGCTCAGGTGGGCGTGGGGGGTGGCTGCAGGCGGCCCGAAGCACGGCGCTTTTGGGGTTGCCAGCGCTTGGCCAAGCGCGGGGGGGTGGGAGTGCCGGCGCGTGCAGGCAGGCAGGCAGGCAGGCAGGCGCGCGTGGTGTGCCGCAAGCGCGCGGTTCTGTCCCCACGCGCCGTCGCGTGACCCTGTTCTGCCCCCGCCCCTGGAGCAGGTCGCTGGCGGCGTGCGAGCAGCTGAGCCGCGCGGGCTACGGCCCCCTGGCCTGGATCAACGGCGGCTTTGACACCGCGCTGCCCGGGGACCTACCCACGAAGGATGGCGTGGACATCCGCCTGGGCGGTGAGCGCCTGCCTCACGGCTGCCGCGGGCCTGGCTGCGTGCCCGTGCCGCCTGCACCGTGCCTGCCTCAGCCCTGTGGCCTCCGTGTCAGTGCCTGTGCCTTTACCTGTGCCTGGTTGCCTTGGGGCTGCGCCTGTGCCTGGTCTGTGGGGCCCTGCGGCCATGTGCCACCAAGCGCTGCCTGTCCACCCAGCGCATCTCGCCCCACGGACATGCCCGCCTGCCGCCGCCGCGCCCGCCGTCGCCCGCAGGCGTGGGCGGCCTGTCGGGCCTGATGGGCTGGACCGAGGCGCAGCGGGAGGCCAACCGCAGCGAGGGGTTTGCGGGCGGCGCGGTGAACATCATCAAGGTTCTGGCGGTACTGCTGGTACTGGACCTGGCCTGGTTTGGCTACGAGGTGGGTGGAGGGAGGTGGGTGGTGGTGGCGTTGGCGGTGGTGGCGGTGGTGGCGGTACTACTGCTGCTCGCTCGCTGGCTGCTGCTGTGTGTGAGCGCGAGGCTGCACTCATGGGTGTGGTACGGCGCACAATTCCGCGCCTCGCGTCTTTGTCGACGCAAGACTCAAGGCAGCTGCTTCCCTGCCCGGCTGGGGTGCAGGTCGCCACCAACTCGAGCCTCATCGACAGCGTGCTGGGCAAGTGAGCCTGCTCGCAGCCCTGACACGTGCGAGAAGCATGTGGCGCGGCCGCGAGACGAGCGCGGCGGGCGAAGGCGGCCCTCAGAACCGCAGTCCGCCGCCCAGCCGCAGCTCCCTGCACTTCTTTTGTCTGCAAGCCCCTGCCTTTTCAGTTCAGTGCCTGTCGTGTCCCCCTCTTGAATAGCCTCCGTTTGTCCTCGACGCTTGCTGCAACCCCCTGACAATCCCCTGGGCATGAGAGACGACACTTGGCAGCGCTGGTGTTGGCAGGGTGTTTACATGCGGGAGATGGATGAGGATGGGACCCGGGCCTGTGGAGCAGGCAGCGCAATGGCGCACCGATTCAAAGTTGCCGCGGCCGGCCACCCAGAAAACGCACGGGCCGGCCGTGGCGGAGCAGGAAGCAAGAGCGCAAATAACAAACCTTAACTGAGAATTACTTGAAGGTGCGGGCATGCCCACCCCGGCTGGTGTCAAGGGGCAGAGGAGGAGCTCACAGCAGGGCGGCCGCCGCGGTGGCCACCTCGCCCACATACGCCGCCGCGCCGCCCACCAGCTCCGCCGCCTGCGCCGCCGCCGCGGCCGCGTTGTTGTGCGCGCCGATGGCCAGCCCGGTGGTCAGCAGGCCAAAGACGAGGAAGGGCTGGGCGGAGGCCTGGTACTTGACGTCGTTGGCCACGGGGTCGGGAAGAAAGTACTTGATCTGGGCGTAGATCTGCGGCAGGCGGTGGGAGGGGTGCCAGGGGAAGAGAGTGTGTGTGTGTGTGTGTGCGCGCGCGCGCGCGCGTAGGAGTGTCCACAACATGTTCTGCTGTGTGTGAACGGACAGACATGCAGGCTAGCGCGCAGGCAGGCGGGCGGGCGGCAGTGTGTGCAGGGGCGGGCGCGAGCAGGGTGCCCCAAGCCAGCAGGGTGCCTTCCGGACCACAGCCCACAACCCTGCTTGCCTGCGGCAGGATGAGCGCCAGCAGCACGGCGCCGTAGACCGGCTCGTCCAGCCCAAAGGCCAGGTAGGCGGCGACCGCCAGCTGCACGGCAGGCGCAGCACGAGCGCAGCAGGCACGGCATGAACAAGGCAAGGCATCACGGGAGGGTGTGCCGTGGTGCCAACTGCATGGTCATGACGCGGGCTGCAGATGCGCGCGTGCGTGCGCGCACACACACATACATACATACATACATACACACACGCATGTGCAGGGCCAGCCCCCGCACCTGCGTGACGTCAATGCTGCCCACACAGATCCACTTGGCTGTGTCCACGCCAAAGGCCACGGGCAGCGACTGCAGGCCCATGGCGCGGTCGCCTGCGGGGAGCAGAGCGAGGTGGGGGGTGGCAGCGTGGGCAGACGAACAGCCGCGGGGCCGCCCTCCCAAGTGCCGCAGGGCTGTGCCATCCACCTAACTGCCTGTGGCACCAAATGCACTACCACCCCAACCTACGGGCACACACGACGCACGACACATGCCAGCAGCTGCTGCCGGTCCCGACCCGCCCACCCAGACGCCCCCCCAGCACACCACCCCTCAAAGCGCCGCACCCTCGATCGACTTGAAGTCGTTGACGATGGCGATGCCCAGGCCCGCGATGGAGTAGAGCACTGTCAGCACCATGACGTCGAGTGTGAGGGTGCCAAACAGGGCCTGGCGGGGAGTGCGGGAGGGTGGGAAGGCAGGGGGAGAGTAGGAGAGGGTGGGGGCAGGGATAGAGTACGAGAGGGCGGGGGTGTCGTGAGTAGGTGGCGCATGCGGTGCAGGAGCTCTGAGGGCCGGGCGAGGACCGAGCGCTGCTGCCGCATGCGCTCACGTGCCGCAGCGTGCGGCTGGATTCGAGCTGCGTCCTGCCCCCGCACCTGGCCCGCCCACCAGGGCAGCGCGATGTAGGAGCTGCCGAGCGCATAGTTTCCGGCCCACCCGCTCTGCTTCAGCTTCAGCGGCGGCGCTGCGGGGTGCAGTGCGTGGGGCGAGGGGGGAGGAGGTCAGGTTGCAGGCTGCGGGCACACTGCAACACCAGCTAGGAAGCTCCCAGGCTCGCCAGCCAGCCATTCCATTACAGCCCCTCCCCTTTCGTGGCAGCAATCAACCCTCCCTTCCTCGCACCCAACACACCAACCGCACCCAGCACACTCCTCAGCCAGACGCACCTGAGTAGATGTAGGAGATGAAGGAGCCAAACACCGACAGCACGGTCATGATGGGGAAGTCGTGGCCTGGGAGGAAAGCGGGGAGACGCAGCAGGGAGGTCAGCGGCCGCGGCAGCGAGCGGGAGGCGAGGATGACACGAGCGGCCAGTTACACATCACACGGCCAGCCTGCATTTGCAACCTTTCTGTGGCCGCCCACCCCACCCCGCCACGCCCCACACAGGGCAACCTGCGCCCGCAGCGCTTCCCAGCCGCCGTGTCCCACACACAGCCCCCGCCTCACCCGCCCACTGGTCCAGCACAAACGCCACGCCGATGCCTCCCAGCAGCAGCGCCCAGATCTGCGCCTTCACCTCGCCCTCGCTGATGGCGCCTACGGAGTGCGACGCCGGGCGGGGCGGTGGCAGGGCATGTGGCTGGGGCATGTGGCTGTCGAGGCGTGCAGCGCAGTGCGAGGAAAAAGCAGGCTGGCAGGCGGATGGAGGCAAGGTAGCCCAGGCAGGCAGGAAGGCGGCCGAGGCAGTCGGCGCCTCTGCCCATCAGCCCCCGCCTCTCACCCGAGGGGATGGGGCGGTAGGGCTCGTTGATGGCGTCAATCTCTCGATCATACCAGTCGTTGATGGTCTGCAGAGCGCGCGTGTGTGTGCATGCGCGTGTGGACTGGGTTGCCGTGGCGTGCTGTGTGCTTGTTCCACCGCACCGTGGGGGCGGTGGAACGGTGGACCCACAGCATGGCGGGCGCGCAGGCGTGCAGCGCACGCCGCCTCCGCAGCTGCCCGCCACAAGCACACGCTGGCCACACACACACACACACACACACACACACACACACACACACACGAGCCCAGCTCCACCTGCGTGTACCCCGTCAGCAGCGGCCCCGACATGACCATGCACAGCACGCTCTTGGCCACATTCTCAGGGGTCCAGGTGAAGGCGCCCGAGGCGGCGGCGCCGCACAGCACGCCTACAGGCGAGGGACGGGCGCGGTGCACGGGGGGGCAGTGGTCGGGTGAGGCTGGGGCCGAGGCACAGGGGGAGACAGAGGGAGGGAGAGAACAGCTACAGGGGCAGCAAGCCCGGGTTCTCGCCCTGGATGATATTACTTGGCGCTGCCACCATCCTGGCCCCCACATAGCAGCGGCACGCAGTCAACAGCTGGTCGGCGCCCCAGCCGGCCCCAGACGACGGCCATGCATTCAAAGGCGGCGGCTGGCACACCCCAGATGAGCGGGATCCAGGTCACCGGCTTCATCAGCTGCAGCCGGATCTTCCAGATGTTGGTCTCTGTGTCGGCCCCCTTCATGCCCAGCAGCTGCACCAGGCGGGACAGTTGGTGGGGGTGGGGCTAGCTGTAAGGAGTTGTTCTGAGGCCGCAAGGTTCACAAGCTTGAGGCCGGCGACGGCGCATGTCCCATTGGCAGCGATGCAGCCCAGCCCGCGCTTGCCTGCGCGTTGCCCTTCACGCCCAGGAACACCTCCTGCTCCTTGCCCTTCTTGTCCGTCTGTTGCGTCATGGCTTGCACCGGCTTCAGCCCTGCAGGTGCGAGAAACGGACACAGGTTGAGGGCAGGCGGGCAGCAGGCGGCGGCAGCGGTGGTGGCACCCAGCTCCGCCAGCCCACCGTCCACATTGCCGAACGATCTCCCTGACCATTCCACGCAATGGCAGGCGGCTGTTTGTTTGGTGGCAAGCTCTCACCCCTGATCTGCTGCACCCGGCAGGGCCGCACTGCCAGCGGCCTGCCCGCCAGGCTGCCATTGCGGGACGCCAATACTGTGCTGATGACGCAAGGCGCACGCATTGTGCCGTTCATAGCTCCCTGTAAGCAGTCGGTGTTGCTCAGAGAGGCGCTTTGGGGCTCGGCGGGCGCAATTCAAGACTCTCCCCGCTTGTATCAGACCCACAGCAGGACGGGGCAGCCCAGAGGCGCGGATAAAATGCAGGCTAATCCTCGCAGTACCCATATGTCTGCCCACATGTAGTGCCCAGCGCCTCGAAAGTGAGTCTCTGCGGCGGTTTGGATGCAAGCACAGCCCTGCAGGCATCACACGACACCCAACAGGTCCAGCGCGGGGTCTCGTGTAAAGGCGGCGGCAACATGGCGCAGGAAGAGCAGCAAACGGCGGCTCGCAGCCAGCAGACACAGGCAGCAAGCCAGCCATCGACCCCGCAGGTGAGCCGCTCCTGCTGTACGCCTCTGACCTCCACACCTTGCTTCCCACCGCTGGCAGCCGCCGCTACTGCTGCCACTTGTTGCCTGCTGCTGTGCTGTGCAAATTGACGCAGCCACAATCGCCAGGCATACCATCGCAAGCCCCTGTATTGGCCACTCGCTTCCACTTGCTTGCACTGCACTGCTGCAGCGGCCGCCGACGCTGTTTGAGGCGGTCAGGCAGATAGAGCCGATGACCGACCGCATCCTGCGCTGGCTGCCCGAGTGGGTGCGAGACGTGGTGCAGGTGTGTGCATGCAGCAGCCGCACTCCATCTTGCCCTTGGTGTGCCGGACGCTTGCAGTCAGCGGCATGCTGCGCCTCCTGCCAACTGCTGGCCTGCCCCTGCCGCTGCTCGACGGCCGCTGGTTGCCCGGCCTCGATGCCTGGCCCTCTCCTGCCGCCATGTCCCACCTGCTCCCTGCCTGCAGGACCGACGGAAGAACCTGCTGTATCTAGAGCGCCACATGCAGCGCCGGCTGATCAATGAGTTCAGAGCTCAGGCTCGAGAGCTGGAGCCGGTGCTGAAGAGCCGCGGCCAAATGTGCGCCGCCCGCGCACCCCGCCCGCCTGCCGCTGCGGGGAGGGCGGCTGGCGCCCGGCCGTGCACGCACCCGCCCCGCTTGCCGCCGCGGGGTCGCTGCGCGCGTGCCGGCGCTGGCGCCGTGCGGCCCCGGCTGGCCGGGCATGCAGGGTGGGATACTGATTTCGCTCGGCGGTACGCCTGTCTATGCAGGGTGGGGGAGACGATCCTTGAGGTCTTCACATCCAGCACGGGCACAGACGTGACGTACGCCGAGGTGGTGGCCGGCAGCCTGCCAGACACGGGTGGGTGGCGCAGGATGGCGGGCGCGCCGCTGGTGTGCCGCTCTGCTGGCTTGCATGTGCGCGCCTGCCGCGCCCACCCCCTCCTGCTGCGACGGCTGCCGACGCGATGCCCGCTGCGCTGGTGGCGCAGCAGGCGCGGCCTGCTGCACAAGTGTGCCTGCCTGGGCCCCCGCCCAGCCTGCCTGCCCTGCGCCTGCCCCGTGTGCAGTCAGTGGCAAGCTGCCGCGAGACCTCATCACGGTCATCGACCCGCTCATCACCCCATTCATAGACCCCTTCGTAGGCAAGCAACCGCTGCTGCAGCCGCGCCGTCTTGCTGCGCCTCGAGGGCTGCCGGGTTTAGGCGCCGCCGCTGCCTCGAGCTTGCACTCAGCTGCTGCGGCTGCTGCTTCTCCCCCGGTGCAGAGGGTATCAAGGTGCCCATCAACGAGAAGGCTGCTGAGATTAAGACGACGGTGGTGCACTCCTTTGCGGTCACCGGCGCCGCCTGCCTGCTCGCGGGCTTCTTGCTCGGCCGCTACCTGCCAGGCGGCGGCGGAGGCGGTGGTGGTTTCGGCGGCGGCAGCGGCGCAGGCAGCAGCAAAGGAGGCGGGCGGCGATAATCGGGCAGCGTTTGTACGCATCTATGTTAGCTGTGTAGCCGAATAGGCCGCTGTGTAGGCGAATAGGCCGCTAGCGGGTGCATGGTCCTCGTTCGGCCCATCCTGGTTGGCGCAGAGGACACGGGGTGCGCTATCTAGTGGATCGGCTGCACGATTGCAAGCGCGATTCTCGGGCAAAGGCGGCTTCCGTTGTGGGTGAGGGGTTTCGTACTTGGGGAGTCGGCTAATGTGGCCAGGGCATCGGCAAACCACTGCTGAATTAATGTGGCTAGTCTCCTGAGCCTGTGTATGCAATGGGGAGCCTGGGGTGCGAATTGAGCGAAAGGAAAGCAGGAATACTGGCGCCCACACTTTCTCGTCACCTTTGTAGGCTCCAATCCGGGAAATTGCTCCGTTTATAGTCAGAACCATAGGGCGGCTGGCCTGGGAAAGCGCCTCGCGAAGGACGACATCCCCGGTCGCACACGTTACGCAGCCACTGCCCAAGCCGCAGCTGTCCCAGTGGCTCTCAAGGACTTCTATCCCATTCCAAGCAACCCCGTACACGCTCAGCTTGCCTTTACCGGCGTCCCAACCCGTCACCCCAACAGGCTTGATGCCCGCCTGCGTCACGGCCGGGTCGGGCTAGGAGCGCAGAGGATGCGGCGGCAGCCGACCAGCGCGGTCACCCTGTGTCAGGCACGCTTGCCTGTGGGGTGGCGGCGGCGGCGGGCCCTTCCCGCCCCCACGCTTGCCTGGTGGTATTTTTCGGCCTCGGCCAAAATGGCCAGCCCCTGCCTGCCCGTGCCCATCCTGCGCAGGTGCACGGCTGCGAGGTGGTGCTCAACAATTTGCGCTCCTTCTTCCTACGCCAGCGCATCTGCGGTGCGTGCATGGGCCCGGGCCGCCTAGGCGGGCGCCATTGTTTAGCACCTCATACCGGCGTTGCCTAGCCAGCCAGCATTGTGCACCAGCACACACTTGCTGCATCTTTGCACACATGCGCGCTGCATCTCCCGGACTCCGCGCCTCGCAGGCAGCCTGCTCTGCCATCCCCGCCGCCGCAGGTGTGCTTTGGTTGGCTGCGCTACGCTTCATCCCCTGCATGTCTGCCTGTTGCCCCCGCCTGCCGCAGAGGAGCATGCACGGTCAGAGGCGGTGCCGGACGGCCGGGGAGGGCTGGCCCGCTTCTGCCAGCAGTGTACCAAGCTAGAGCCTGTGGCAGCCTTTGACGGCCGCAGGCGCTCGTGCCGCACCAGCCTGGCGAAGCGCCACAAGCGGCTGAACCGTGCGCGCGCAGAGCAACCGGGCACCAGCACAGACACCCACACCAGCAGCGCTGACGGCCGCGGCAGCACCAGCAGCCCGCAGGGCGCGGATGGGCGCCTCGGCGGCCGCGGCCAGCGGGCTGACGGCGCCAGCAGCCCAGCAACGCACACCTCCTTCCAGCTGGCGGGCGCCAAGCGCAGCTGCGGCACCACCACCTCGCCAACCCAGCCCACCGCTGCGGCGTTGGCGGGCGCGGGGCAGGCCCCGCGGTTGCCTCCTGGGGACCTCATACCCGGCAGGCAGCCATACGCTGAGCTGGCTGGCCCTGGCATGCCGGGCCTGCAGGCTCCCGCTGGGGCGCTGGGCGAGGGCGGCGAGGCGGCGCTGTTGCAGCAGCTTGCGCAGTTCTTGGGCATGCCAGGAGGTGAGGGGGGCTGCTGCACAGCCGCAGCGAGCGTGGGGTGGCCTGGATGCCGCGCAGGGGGACTCTAGGGCTGCTGCTTGGGACGGCTGGGAGGCGGGGTGGGAGCAGCCTGCCCACCCAGGCCTGAGCCTGTGCATCCGACCGCTGAGCTGCGTGCTCCCGCCCATGCTGCAGGCGCCTCGCACCAGGGGACCGCCCCCAGCCCGCCCGCCACCGGCCAAGCAGCCGGCTGGCTGGGCGGCCCCCCTGCAGCACCTCTGCCAGCCACGCAGGCTGCCACCCCTCCTCCTGGCCCTCGGGGCCCGCTTGCCACTCTTGGGCCCGTCTTGCAAGCCTTGGGGGCAGCAGCCGCCAGCGGTGGTGCTGCAGGCTCCCAGGAGCTGCAGCTGGAGCTTCCAGGCAGCGTCACGGAGCTGCGCAGCCTGCTGGGCGCGCTGCGGCAGCTGCAGGCGATTATCGGCAGCGTCGCCATCCCGCAGGTGCAGCGGGCGCTGACGCGGTTGGAGGCGGCGGACGTGCTGGGGCTGCTGCTCGCCATGCAGGCCCAGCGCCCGCAGGAGCAGCAGGCCGGCGGCATCGCCACGCCCCAGCCGCAGCAGGATGCTGCGCTGGGCGGGCAGGAGCTAGCAGCCGTGCTGCAGCTCCTGCAGTCACATGTGCAGCCGCCGCAGGCCTTGCCCCAGCAGCAGCAGAAGCAGCAGCAGCGGCGGCAGCAGCAGCAGCACCAGCAGCAGCAGCAGCAGCACCTGATGCAGCAAGCGCGACAGCAACCACAGCAGCACCAGCCGCAGCAGCCCCATGGACAGCCGCCGGCGGCGGCGGCAGGGGGCTTTCCAGCACTGCCCGTGCCGGCAGGCTCGAACCCGCCCCCACGCCAGCAGCAGCCTCCTCTGGCAGGGGACAGCAGCAGCGCGGTCATGCATGCCTTCTTCCAGCAGCTGCAGCAGGCGGCGCAGCAGCCACCCAAGCCGTGAGGCTGCCACAGACCTTTCTAGATCCAACACATGCCTATGGGTCGTCACAGTGACTCAGCCTGCCTACCCCATTACCCAAAGTCTCCGCCTGTCGCCCCTATCTATCATGCTTATATTCATTCACTGCTGTCATATGTGCATGGCCATGCATACAACCGACAAGTGAGGGGGCGGCGCCCCATGATCCTTTACGCTGCAACGCGGCATGCACATGCTGCCTCCTTCATCCAAGCCTTTCATTCAAGTGTGTTGACCGCTCTCCCTTCCCCCTACCCCGTGTTTCCATGCCTATGCGTATTTGTGACGTTTCCCTTAATGCCCTTGGCAACATGCGTTGCCCTTATTCATCTGACTGCGCAATTGTGATGATACAAATGCGTGTGCACGCCAGGAGGGAGGCAGGGCATGGGTCCAGGGCAGCAGGCAGGAGGCAGTGCAGGAGGCAGTCTGTGCCGCTGGAGGTGGTGGGCGTGGCTGCTCTTGGGCTGCCTTTGTGTCCTAGCGAGGTCCGACCCACCGAAAGTGCGATACACGGCACCAGCATTCGTTGCGAAATGAGCTGCGGTGTTACAACAGCCGCTGGCGCCGCGGCAGTCGGCGGGCCGGCAAACGATGGGGCGTGGGGCGCCAGCGCCAGCAAGAATGGGTCCGGGAGAATGGAAGCGCTCACACGGTACAGACGGGGACACAGTACAGTCAGTGTAAGGGGGACAGACGCTCGGGGATACAATCAGAGTGCATGCTGTATGGTTGTGTGTGCAGAGGAGTGTGGAGGGGAAAGGATGTAGTGCCAGACACGTGGTGAGCTGCAGGCTGGGCTGGCCTCGCTGCCGCTGGCGGCACGCAGGGGCATTCAAGGCCCACCACGCCGCTCCTAGGCCCAGGCCGCGCCGCGCTGCGGCCGCGCCGCCCTACTGCGGCGGCTTGTGGTAGTGGGTGGGCACAAACGGCATCTTGGTGACGGTGGCATCGTTGAGCTTGCCCCGCACATTCACCTTGAGCTCGGTGCCGGCCTTGGCCATCGACTTGTCCACGTAGCTGCAGGGAGGGCGAGGGAGAGAGGGTGGGTGACGAGGTTGGGATGCGAGTGGGGCATACACAGGGGGAGGCAGGGGAGGCGGAGACGCCAGGGCAGGGGCTGCGGGGGCGTGCTGCCGCCGCGGCCAGGCAGGGGCACACGCCAAGGCACGCGCTGAGCAGGCGGCGGCAGCCGCAGCAAGGTGCCTGCCCACCCCATGGCGATGTTCTTCTTGAGGCAGGGGCTGAAGGCGCCGCTGGTGATCTCGCCGACCTTCTTGCCGTCGGTCGTCAGCACCTGCATGGCATGGCAGGCGTGTGTGCACGTGCGTGTGAGAGACGGACTGTGGGTTGGCGTGGGAGGGGCAGGGCGGCGCTGCAGAGGACGCCCGGGGTGTGTGTGGGAGGGCGCAGGCCGCTGCGCGCAGGCCCCTGCCGCTGTGCTGCGGGCCAGCCTGCACGCCTGCTGCTGCAGCAGGGCGGCCTGCCAGCCTGCCAGCCCACCTCAGAGTGCTGCCGCGCGGGGGCGCCGCTGCTGACGAAGCCGACGCGGCGCACGCTCACGCCGTCGGCCAGCTGCTGCTTGATGACCTGCAGGCGGGGAGGAGGCGGCAAGGTGCTGCGTGTGGGTGTGTGTTTCCGCGTGTGTATGTGCCTGTATCTGTGATACATATCTGCAGGCATGTTGCTGGTTGTGGCGCAGGTGGCTGTGGCGGCGGTAACTATGTGCTCGTGTGTGGGCTGCCACACTGGGCTGGCGAAGGAGGCCAGGGGCCAGCCTCGACAGCCCACCAGCACGCCGCCCACGCCCATGCCCACGCCCGCACCCAGCGCCCAGCGCCGCCCCACCTGCCCGCCCAAAAAGTCGAAAGCCTCGCGCCGCCGCTTGCCGACGGTCCAGGTGAGGCCCGCCTCGATCGGGGTGATGTCCTCATTCAGATCGTTGCCTGCGCAAGCATGCCGGGGGCGGGGTGGTGGAGGGGGAGGGGGCGAGGGGAGGAGAGGGGGCCCAAGCAGGGGCTGGCAGGGGGTGCGGCTGGCTGGCGCCACCGCGCGTGGGGTGAAGCGACAAGCGAGCCCCGCCCCGCCGCCGCGGATGGCCTGCGCTCGCCCCAAACCAGCACAGGTCGCCACCATACCGCCGCACCACCACCACCACCGCACGCCGCCGCGGCCGCCGCCCCAGACGCACCGTACAGGCAGAGGCCGGCCTCGAGGCGGAGGGAGTCGCGGGGTCCCAGGCCGCACAGCCGCACCCGCCTGTCTCCCATCAGCGCCTCTGTGAGCTCCACGGTCCTGTCGCTGGGGATGGACAGCTCAAAGCCGTCCTCGCCGGTGTACCTGCGGTATGACGTTACAGCAGTACATCAGTACAGCGGTACAGCGGCGCGGCGGTGCAGGGCGGGCGGCGGCCCAGGGTGATGCAGGGCGCGCTGGCGGGCAGCGCCCCCGGGGCCCGGGGGGGCTGGGCAGCAGGCTGCCGCCCCACGGCAGGCGGCAGCATATGTCGGGCGCCCGAGCGCCGGCACGGCTGCGTGATTTGCATCCCCGCCACTACCCACCCACCTTACCCCCCACACCACCAACCCGACACACACAGACACACAAACAAATGCCAGGCGCCTCCGCCACCGCCCACCCGGTACGCGTGAGGAAGCAGGGCACGCCCTTGATGTCCAGCTTGCGGAAGTTGGAGAAGTAGACCTTGTCCAGGTCCTCGCCCACAAATTGCTGCGGGGGGGCAGGCAGGGAACGAGGGAGGAAACGGAGGTGCGGGTGAGAGCAGGAAGGTGTGTGTGTGCGTGCACGTGCGCGCGCGCGCGCGCGCCGCGCGTGCGTGTGTGTGTGCGTGCATGTGTGTGTGTGTGTGCGCGCGCGCGCGAGTGTGTGCTCCTCAACAAGTTGCTGTTGGCAGGCGAGGAAGCGGGGGGCAAGGCGGGGGGTGGGCCCGCCAGGCTGGCGCCCACACCTGCAGCACCGCCACCGCCTCCGGCCCCTGCAGCGCCAGCAGCGAGCGGTCGTCGTGCAGGACCAGGTCCACCTGCCCGCCCTTGGCCTGCAGGGTGGGTCGGGGTGGGGGTGGGGCAGCATGGGAGGGCATCGGGGGGTCAGGGGCCGCGAGAGAGGAGCGAGTGGGGTTGGCAAGGCCCGCCGGCGGGAGGCATGCAGGCAGGCAGGTTGGGCGCTCTGAAGGGAGGGCGAGGTGGCAGGCAGGCTGCACATCCCAGCAATTGCCAGGCCGGCCTGCCTGGCCATTGGGTTCCGCACCACACCACCCCAACCCACCCCACCCCACCCCACACCACGCCACACCACACACCTTGAACGCCTCCAGGTGCTTGCCGATGTGCGCCAGGTCCTTCTCGCGGCACCCCGCATTCACCACAATGTACAGCTCATCACCCTTCACCTTGGTGACCACTGCGGGCAGTGGGAGGGCGGGCGGGAGGAGGGTGGGCGGGCACAGGCAGTGGGTACTCTTAGAGGAGCCTCGAGCCGGGCTAGCAGAGGGAGGGGGGTGAGGCTGAGGCAGGCGACTGCCTGCTCCGCGGGTCGAGCCAGCTGAGGGAGCGGCCATGAGGCTGAGGCAGGTGGCCGCCTCCTCCGCGGCAGCGCCGGCTGCCCCGCGTGCCGCGTGCCGGCGCCGCGCTCGGCAGCACGCCCGGCCATGGCCGCCGCTGCGCCCACACGCCACCGCCACCGCCACCATCCCTCGCACTGCCGCCGCCGCCACCACCACTGCCAGCCCCCGCACCGGTGTCATCGATGATGCCGCCCTTCTCGTTTGTGAACACAGACAGGGTGCCGGTGCCGTCTGCCAGCGCGGCAATGTCCCCCACCACCAGGCCCTCCAGGAACGGCACCGCATCCTTGCCCTGCAGGCAGGCGCGCATGCTGCCCAGGCAGGTCAGGCTCGGGTGGAGGCTGGTGCTGAGTGGAGTGGGTGGGTGGCCGCGGGCGCCGCGCCTGCAGCGCTATACATCAACACCGCTGCCCCGCCGCTGCGCGGGCGCGGCTGCGGCCGTGCGGCATCCCCGCCCCGCCTGCCCGGACTGCCAGCGCTGCTGCAGCTGGCGCCCAGCATGAGGAACACGCCGCAGGCAGGCCCCCACCCCGGCCGATGCCTGCGCCGGCCCACGAGGGAGCAACTGGGGGGAGGCAGAGTAACTCAGCCGCCGCCGCCGCCCGACGCCGCACCTTGAGCGTCAGGCCGCACATGTGGGAGACGTCAAAGATGGAGGCGTGTGTGCGGCAGTGCAGGGTGGAGTCGATGATGGAGTCCTTGTACTGGATGGGCATCGACCAGCCCGCAAACGGCACCATCTTGCCCGCAACACCCAAGGAGGAGGAGGAGGAGGGGACGGGGAGGAAAGGAGAATGTTATTAGCCGGTGGACGGATGGATAGCTGTTAGCCGGCTGCCCGGATGAAGCTTGCGCAGTGCACCCAGATGTGGAGGAGGCTGGCTGGCTGGCAGGGAGCAAGCACACAGGGCACCGGTGGCGGCGGCGGCGGCGGCAGGCGGGGGCCGCGCCCACCTCCGTTGGCAACGTGGTAATCGTAAAGCACTGTCTTCTTCAGGCTGGCGTCATCGGCGAAGCCGCGCGTTGCCAACAGCCCCGCAGCGGCGCAGCTGTTGGAGTGTTTAGCCGAGGCGGCAGCATCGCTGCCGGCCCGGCCCAGCGCCCGCAGGAGTTGCACAGCTGCTTGGCGACGCATGATTGTCGATGGAAATCGCACAATGGGCCTCCGATCGCCCGCCTTGGGGTAGACTCTGGGGGGCTGGGGCTCAGCATGCTAGCCACGATGCAGGCTCATCCTCAAAGCTAGCTGCAGCTTTCGGGCCGGCCAAGTCGATTGGCCTTCTGCCCGGTGCTCAGCCAGTCTTGTCGGCCCTTGTCCAACCTCCCGGAGCAGGCCTGCATCCCCCGGCACCTCGTGCACGCCTTGCAAGCGCATTGTCACCGCGGAAGCACTGTCTCGACATGCAGACCTGCCCGACAGTGGCGAGCAGCGCCCTGCGCCGGCCGCCCCTGGTGGCGGCGCCGTCTGCCGCCCAGCGGCACCGGTGCCTGCGGGTGCAGGCGCAGCAAGGCTTCAGCGGCGGCCAGGGACAGAAGCTCCCCAAGCAGGTCAAGGTCAGTGGACGTGCAGCGTGGGCTTCGGCTGTCTGTTGCTGCAAAGGGCTTTTCGAGCCTGACCACTGCCTGCCTGGCCAGTGCATGCTGCTCCCTTGCACACAGCCTGCACTGCTCCCACTGGCAGCACCCTATTGATTGCACGCATGCTCACCTGCAGAAGAGCAAGCGGGGCAAGGTGGCGTCGCGGCCCTCGCCCAAGCTTACCCTGGAGCAGCTGCAAGCGGACCAGGCAGCATACGAGGCGCAGCGCCAGCAGCAACAGCAGCCGCCAACGGCGGCAGGGGTGAGCTCTGAGGAGGAGGAGGAGGGGGAGGAGCTGTACTATGGAGGCAGCAGCAGCGGCGGCGCCGGCGGCGCGGGCGGTCGTGCAGGCGGTATGGTGCAGTACGGCAGCAGCGACGTTGTGCCCGAGGTGGTCACCAACCGCATGTTGCGCCGCGTCATCCTCTTCATGGGCACACCCGTGTTTGGAGGCATCCTGCTCTTCCCCTTCTTCTACTGGCTCAAGGTGGGAGGCGGGGTGGAGAAGCTTGGGGAGGGGAGCGGTGAAGGCAGTCGGCTCGGCCGCTGGCTGATGCAGGGTAGCTATAGGGCAAGCAGGCCGGCAGGCTGCTGCCAGGTGCGGCGGCGGCTGGAGGGGAGCCGGAACACCTGCTGCATTGCGCTGATCGCCGCATGGGCCTGCGCCCCAGAGACGCCATCCCGGCCTGCCGCCCTGCCGCGGGCCCGCAGATCAAGCAAGGCGTGGACCTGCCCAACTGGGTGGCCTACCTCTCCTCCTCCCTCACCTTTGGCGGCGGCCTGCTAGGCATCAGCTACGGCATCATGTCGGGTGCGTGGCGCGCCGCAGTGACGCCTGCCCGCCCGCTCACGCCGGCGGCGCTGGTGGTGCATGGCACGCATGCCAGCTGGACCCCGGCGCCTCTGCTGTCGCCTCTGCTGCTCGTTTGCTGCTCCTGTTGTCGCTGCCGGCATGCCAGCCAGGATGTGCGCTGCAGCATGCACGCTCACCCTGCCGCCTCGCCCCGCTCCACCCGCCTGCCCTGGCGCAGCGAGCTGGGACCCGCGCCGCGAGGGCAGCCTGCTGGGCTGGACGGAGTTCCAAGCCAACGTGCCGCTGCTGCTGGACCGCTTCAAGCGCGGCAGCGACTGAGACGCCAGCTGGTGGCTGTGTGTTTTCTTAAACAGTTGCACATGTAACCCGCTTGAAGGACACTTACCCTGCTGGTTGCCTCCACGGGTGTTCAAAGACCAGCGGCAGCGGGTTTGAAGCTTGTTTAATCAACAACAATGCAAGGAACAACTAACTAGAACTGCAAACAACTAAGTAGAACTGCAGCGCTTCAACGTGTGTAGCGTTTTGGAATCTGATCAGGCAGTGAGAATACGAGAGCGGCATCATCAGGTTGCCGCGGGCACTGGCACCTCTGCTCAGGCCCTGCCTCGGTCGGCATCGCACGCCAGCTCCAACTGGCTGCGGGAGAAGAGGACCTGCTTGCCGCGCATCGCCACCAGCACCTCGGCCGCAGCGCCGCGCCCCGCCACAAGCTGCCGCAGCAGCACCAGCTGGCGCGGCGCCTGCTGCCCCTGCTTGGGCTCCTCTGGCACGTACGTCGCCTCGCCATCCCACAGCTGCAGGCTGACCAGCTGCGGCTGGAAGGCGCCTGCACCTAGCTCCGCCGCCATCTGCCCCACCGCCTGCCGCGCACCTCCGCTTAGAACCGCAGCTGCCAGCCGCAACGGCGGCGCCGCACATGCATAGCACAGGCTGACCAGCAGAGGGGCTGCTTTGCCTGCTGGCTGGCTGCCACCTCTACCGTTGCCAGCCCACATCGCCTCGAGCAGTCCATTGGCCTCCCGCTCTGACAGCAGCAGCACGGACCTGCCAGCCTCGCTGATGCGGCCGCTGCCGCTGGTGCTGCTGCCCTTGGCTGCCACCTCCTCCGCAGGAAGCAGCAGCAAGTGGCCCACAGGGCGCAGGTACTCGTTGAGCGCCTCGCCCTCGGGCTGCTGCACCGCCACGGCAAAGTTGGGGGTGCAGAAGACGTGCGGGCTCCAGGGCACGCAGCCCACAGCCGCCGGCTGCACCTGCGCTGCCAGCTGTCCCAGCGACAGCAGCCGCAGCCCAGCGGCAAGCTTCAGGCTAGCCAGGGAAGTGGCTCACAGGGCCTTGGAATAGTCCCAGTCTGTCTCGTCCATAGCCGCGATTCGTGGAATCTGTCGCTCCACCTCCTCCTCCTCTTCCCTCTCCAGCTCCCTCTCACACTCCTCGCCAAGATGACCTTGCGCCACCACCTCGTGCCCCTCGCCGTACTGCTTGCTGGCTGCCACCACCCGCTGCATCAGCTGCATCATGTCGGCCGCCAGGCCTGGCCGCCGGCCCTTCTGCCGCCGCCCGCACTGCTCCGCCACCACCTCTGGCACGCCGCACCAGTCCCGCGCGCCGCCATACATGGCTGCCAGCTCCAGCACCTCTGGCTGCAGGGCGTGTTCTGGGGCTCCGCGGGTGGCGGCAAACAGCAGCCCCTGGTGCGCCCACTCCAGCACGCCGCGCTGGGTTGCCGCCACCGTGTTGGCCATGGCCCATTGCAGCACGTGGAGGGAGGTGATGGCGGCATCGTCCGCCATCCCAGCCACCCGCGCTATCTTGGCTGTGACGTCGGCAGTGCCGACCGTCTGCAGCGTCTGGCCCTTGCCTGAATGCAGCCGGGGAGCAGGGGGCAGTGCATGGGTTACAATCTGACGAGAAACGGAGAGGCTGTAGAAAGCTGCACGCTGGCATTGGACACTGTCAGTGGAAAGCACACCGGCTGCTGCCGCTCCACGCTGCTGTCTGCCGGCACCCTCCTGCCTCCTCCCCTCCTCCCCAACTCACCCAGCTTGCGCAGCCGGCCAGCCGACTGCATGAGCTTGTCCTTGGTGGTTGCCGGGCCCAGGGTGAGCAGGCCCACGGCGCCGTGGCGCAGCTGCAGGTCTGCGCCCCGGCACCTCGCCTCGTCAAACAGAGTGAGGCACTGGGCCTCCCGGATGGGGGAGCTGGCCCGGGGCTGGCGGCGGCCCTGAGGGTCGGCCACCACCCACTCCCGCTCCGCCTCATCATAGTAGCACACCCCGGAGAAGCGTTGGCGGTCCAGCAGCTGCAGCAGGTAGTCGGCGGCAGCCCTGCAGAGCAGGGGTGGTGGGGGCGGGTTGTTGTTGGTGGCAAGTTGGGCTTGCGCAGCTGGGCCCTGCCAGCAGCCATCCCGTGTTCGTCTTACGCTGGGCAGAGGCAGGCAGTCGGGGAGATCAGCGGTCACCTCCCTGCACACCCACGCCCAGGGCGGAGGCAGCCCGACCCACCCACCTGTTGCTGGTGCCGGCCAGGAGCGCGCCACAGTCCACGAGAGCATCCATCCCCTCCCGCACCGCAAGCTGCAGCAGCACCTCCCACACCGCCTGGCCCTGCATCAACCGGGACGGCGGGCAGGCGGGTCAGCAGCCCGCCGGGAGGCCCCAGGCGCTCGGTGCCCTCCTGGTGTGCACCTGCATGCGCTGTTGCAGCATCTTGGGTGCCAAATGTACTGCCTGTTTTGTACTGCCAGGTGGTGTTCCTGCAGTTGCAGCTGCCCACCTGCTGCGTTGCAATTGTGTGGTACCGCGGGCTGGCCAGCAGCACCGCCAGCATCTTGCCGTTGGTGTCCCTCAGGCGGGGCTCCACGTCCAGGTGCTGCCGCACTTGCAGCGGCAGCAGGCGGTGGTTGTCGTTGGTGCCTGCGGCGGCCGTGGCGGGTGGGGCAGCAGCGACAGCGGGATGGAATGCGCGGGGGATGGCGTGGCAGTGGTGGCTGTGGCGATTGTGGTGCGCGCTGGTGTTGCTGTGCATCGACGGTGTTAGGTGTCGTCGTGAGGCAGCTCTGGTGCGTCAAGCCCCCTCCTCCCCTCCAGCTTGCCTGAGAAGCCCACCACCCGGCCGCATGGGTTGTCTGCCAGGTTCCAAGAGGTGGCCACCAGGCGGTGCGGGAACTGGCGCGTCTCTTCCGGGAACACGCAAACCATGCGGTTGTGCAGCACAGGCAGGGGAAGGCAGCAGGAGGGCGACAGGCGCTCGGACGTCCAGACTGGTGGTGCCAGCTGCCAGCTGTGCAGTGCACCCTCGTTGCCCTCTGCACACCACCTTCTGTGCAACCCTGGTGTTCCCAAAGCGGTTGACCGTACAGCCCCCACACGAAGCATCACATCAGCCGCCTGCATGCCCGTGTGCTCACTTGAGCCAGAAGTCGACTGCCGCCATGTTGTGGCTGAACAGCCTGTGCAGCAGGTCCACCTGCAAGGCGTTGTTGGTGTCCAGCTTGCTGGCCTGGTCCACGGTCGCCAGATCCTCTGCAGCAGCGCACAACAGGGGGGGCGAGGGCAAATGTGGAGCGGTGGACAGAGGAGGCGCCCATGGCCGGCGGCCAGCGGCATCGGCTCCCCGGCCCACTGCGCTCGGCTTGGCCCTGCCTGCGGCGACGTCCAGGGCCGCCAGCGCCAGCCACTCTGCAAAGTGCGCCTGCTGTGCATTCTGGCCCAGTCCCAGCAGCTTGAGCAGGGCATCCAGCAGCTCCTTGCGGGACAGGCCGCGCTGGTAGTAGGCCAGGGTGGTGAGGGTGAGGGCGGAGTCGGGCTGGGCGTACTCGGAGCGCTCGGAGGGCACGTGGGCGGCGCGGTACGGTACCGCCAGGCGCTTGCGGGCGCCAACGTTACTGCAGGGGCAGAGGGAGCGGGATTGGGGCGTCGTGGGGGTGGGGCGCCGCTGGGGGGCAAGGGTTTGGGGCAGCGCAGGCCTGTGTTCAGCAGGGAACAACAGGGCCGCTCGCATGCCGGCTTTGTGGCAGCAGGCAGGATGCCACATGCTCCCTCGCACTCACTCATTGACGCCATAGTCCACCAGGTGCCTCATCTGCAGGCAGTGCTGCAGCACCCCGCACGCCAGCAGGCCGCGCAGCGCCAACACGTCGGCGCGCTCCCCCTCGCTCAGGCTCCCCGGCAAGGCGTCCAGGGCGGCGCTGGCATCCAGCGCTGTGTCGTTGATGCAGCGCAGCTGCAGCTCCTGCGGCAGTGGGGGCGCAGCAGGGCAGGGGCAGGGCTGCATTGCATGAGCGCTGGGCTCAGCAGTGTGCGGACGTGTGGTGCCTGCTCAACTCCCACCCTCCCACCTGCTGGGGATGGCCTGCCATCCAGCGCATCGCATGCGGCAGCCGGGCCAGCACCGCCCGTGCCAGCAACTGGCGCAGCTCCGGGGCGGCTCTGTCCAGTGCTTTGCCCGGCAGCAGGCGCACGCCGCGGTAGGCTCCCGGCTTGCCGCACGGCCCACTGGGCACGGCCACGCCCTCCCGAGCCAGCAGGGCGCCGATGGGCCCGCCGCTGTGCGCCTCCCGAGACAGGACTTGCAGCAGCGCCTGGCCACTAGTAGCCGAGGGTCAAAATCCACAATTTTCTCCCCCGGCCAAAATTGGGTTTGCACAATTTAATTTTGCACCATAATAAATATTGGAAAATGGCAATTACCGGATTAAAAATCGTATGAACACATAAAAAAATTAGTGTTTCTTTTGGTGCAAAATGACGGGGCCACAGTATGGCAAAAGCACCATTTGCCCATCCCTGAATTGTGTGCAATTTGAAAAACACGATTAGTTTTTTTGTGCATTTGCACTCGGCTCACACTCGGCCACTCGGATCAGACTCGGACCACTCCACAAATTCATCCACAATTTTTGGCACACATTCCGGCTTGAGAGTGCTGAATAGCACTGGGTTGTCTGTATTCGCGGCTAAAACAAAGGCCGAGACGCTCCTGCAGCTAGAACCCCACCTGCAGGAGCTGGGTGGAGCCGCCATGGGGCGCCGCCATGGCGGCGCCTGACTGAGCACAACAACAGCCCGCCTGCTGCTCCCAGTGCACACAGCAGCCTGCCTGGTGTTATTAGCACAACAACGATCACCTTTGAAGTATAACTCAAAGCCCGGCGCGTTTTTCGTAAGGGCCGGGCTCCCGGCCCTTACGTTTGGAGCTCCAGCTGTCGCTCCAAACGGCTGCCATTGTGACATGCAGTTGCATGCTCAGCGCTTCAGCGCGATTGACAGCAATCGCACAAGAGCTGCAAGCAACTCGCTGGGCGGGGCAAGGCCGGTGGTGTGCGCACCGCACCTGGCCGGCGAAAAGGCTGCCCCGCGCTGGCTGCAGGCGACTGATAAACCACGCGGGTTGGCGGCGACGATGAGGGATAGGAAGGGAAAGAGTGTGCGTGGGCCAGGAGGGAGCAACTGAAGTGCTGAGGGCGGGTGGAAAGGCCGCCGCATTGGGCGCCACGCGGTCATGCCTTGCTGGCTTTGGCTGGAAGTGATCACCCTTTCAACTTCCTCCAAACACTCATCAACCCATTCCTGAGACATTTTAGGCGGCCCACACGCCTGCGCCCCCCATCTGGCATGGGCATGGTGCCTCCCGCCCCGTGCCCCGCCGCCGCCATGGCGCCGCCGGCGGAGCCGCACCCTTGAGCGGCCTATCTCAATGCCGCTGCTGACTCTTCCCCAGATGCATGTGTGGGGTAGGGCGAAAGAAAACATTGCAGGCTAGTCAGAGGGGCACATGCTAGCATAGCCAGCCTGCCAGCATCACACATCTGGGCAACGAGGGCACACAATGTAAACCAAATGGCCGGGCAGCAACACACATCCGTGCATCGAGGGCACACAACAAGCACCACATGCCAGGCAGCAAGCCGATCACTCACCCGCTGCAGAATCAGGAGGGATCCAGATGCATGTGTGGGGTATGGCAAAAGAAAACAAAGCAGGCTGGTCAGAGGGGCACATGCTAGCATAGCTGGCCAGCCATCAGCACACATCTGGGCAACGAGGGCACATAACCAGCACCACATGGCGGGCAGCAAACCGATCACTCACGGGCTGCAGAATCAGGAGGGATCCAGATGCATGTGTGGTGTTGGGCGAAATAAAACAAAGCAGGCTGATCAGGGGGGCACATGCCAGCATAGCCGGCCAGCATCACACATGGAATATTCGAGGGCACATAACCCGCACCACATGGCCCAGCGGGCCCGCGCCCGCGCCTGCCAGGCGCTGCTGCAAGTCCTGTCTCGGGAGGCGCACAGCGGCGGGCCCATCGGCGCCCTGCTGGCTCGGGAGGGCGTGGCCGTGCCCAGTGGGCCGTGCGGCAAGCCGGGAGCCTACCGCGGAGTGCGCCTGCTGCCGGGCAAAGCACTGGACAGAGCCGCCCCGGAGCTGCGCCAGCTGCTGGCACGGGCGGTGCTGGCCCGGCTGCCGCATGCGATGCGCTGGATGGCAGGCCATCCCCAGCAGGTGGGAGGGTGGGAGTTGAGCAGGCACCACACGTCTTGTAACTGAACTGTGCTGAGCTATGTTTGGCGGTTCATGAAAATGCACCTAGAGGCACTTGCATGCCAGGCAGGGTCTGGTAACGGTGGCTGGACGCAATGTCGGACAGCGTGTGGCGGGCCGCGCAACCCACCTTACCACCACCCATCGCCGCCGCCAGTCTGCTGCCGCCAGTGCCAGCCAAGTAGCCAGGGGGGCATTACACGTGCTGTGTGCGCGTGACGTGGAGGTGTAGATAGGTAAAGGTGGGTAAGAGCCTCCACAGGCTTAACTTCCCGGTTTTAACGTCTAGCTTTAGACCATTATTTGATCTGCCCGACGCGCCAAGTGCAGTACCCCCCACTAGTAGTGAATGGGTCCCGGGGAGGCCTGTGCCGAAGCCTTGGCGATTCAATTAGGCGTTCCCGAAGGAATTGGCTTGGATTGGCGCTGAGCCGGTCAGCTATGCCGCGTTTGTCCTCACAAAGTTTCGACATGGGAGGAATCGAACCTGTGCCCTCTCGGAGGGTTTAGACACTAGCTCCAGCGCCTTCAAAGAAGGCCTTTCTTAGCCGCGACCAAAGGCAATATGGTGGAGAGGAATGCGGGGTGAAGGAATGTGTGTGATGGGTGACAGGGTGATGGGTGACATGGGTGGCAGCGGGGGAGACGAGAGAGAAGGGGAGGGGCATGTGAGGTGTGTGTGACAGGGTGGGGGCGACAGGGGACGGCGCTGGCAGTTTTGTGTTGTTTTAGGAAGAAGTTTCACGGTTGCTTCTATATCGACTCGATGGGGGTGGGTTGAGGTAGGCGTATCTGTGCATTGGCGGAGCGTTTGATGCTCGGTTGTGTAGAAAAAAAGGCTTGGCAAGCTGTTGGCCAGCTTCTGCTAGCCAGCAAGCAGTTGAAAGGTTCCTGTGAGCAGCAAGAAGTACTGCAGTCACTAGTGTTGTACCGTGGGTGTAAGGGGGCTGTCCGTGCCGGCCCCATTTTAGTGGGGGTGCCGCAGAGGGTGCCACCCCAGCCGACAGGGCATACAAACGCTGACTTCATCAATGTCTTGTCTTTGCAAAATTGCATGTGGGTGGAGAGGGCAAAAAGGCGAGGAATGCAGGTCAGAGGGGCACAACCAGCATGGCCAGCAAGCAACGCACATTTGAGCAACGAAGGCACATAACCAGCACCACATGGCGCAGCAAGCCGATCACTCACCAGCTGCAGAAATAGGAGGGATCCAGATGCATGTGTGGTGTTGGGCGAAAGAAAACAAAGCAGGCCAGTCAGAGGGGCACATGCCAGCATACCCTGCCAGCATCACACATCTGGGCAACAAGGGCACATAATATACACCACATGGCCAGGCAGGAACACACATCCGCACATCGAGGGCACACAACAAGCACCAGATCTCAGGGAGCAAGCAATTCACTCACGGGCTGCAGAATCAGGAGGGATCCAGATGCATGTGTGGTGTTGGGCGAAAGAAAACAAAGCAGGCTGGTCAGAGGGGCACATACCAGCATAGCCGGCCAGCATCACACATCTGAGCAACAAGGGCACAGAATATACACCACATGGCCGGGCAGGAACACACATCCGCGCATCGAGGGCACACAACAAGCACCACATGGCAGGCAGCAAGCCGATCACTCACCCGCTGCAGAAATAGGAGGGATCCAGACGCATGTGTGGGGTAGGACGAAAGAAAACAAAGCAGGCTGGTCAGAGGGGCACATGCCAGCATAGCCGGCCAGCATCACACATCTGGGCAACAAGGGCACAGAATATACACCACATGGCCGGGCAGGAACACACATCCGCGCATCGAGGGCACACAACAAGCACCACATGGCAGGCAGCAAGCCGATCACTCACCCGCTGCAGAAATAGGAGGGATCCAGATGCATGTGTGGGGTAGGACGAAAGAACACAATGCAGGCCAGTCAGAGGGGCACATGCCAGCATAGCCTGCCAGCATCACACATCTGGGCAACAAGGGCACATAGTATACACCACATGGCCGGGCAGGAACACACATCCGCGCATCGAGGGCACACAACAAGCACCACATGGCAGGCAGCAAGCCGATTACTCACGGGCTGCAGAATCAGGAGGGATCCAGATGCATGTGTGGTGTTGGGCGAAAGAAAACAAAGCAGGCCAGTCAGAGGGGCACATGCCAGCATAGCATGCCAGCATCACACATGGAATATTCGAGGGCACATAACCAGCACCACATGGCGGGCAGCCTGGCAACCACTTA